AAATTTATTTTTTAAACAAAAAAAATTCAATGGATTTACTGGTCTTACTAATTGTAATTTATGTATTTAAAAAAAAAAATTTATTCTAGTTGAAACATTTTAGCCGTTTTTTTTTTTGTCCAATCTAGCCGATCGCCCCGAAAAGTTCTGGCAACACTGATTAGAACGAACGTTTTCCTCGTCTATTTACTTGTGTGCACTACGGCTTGTGCTTAGTTGCTTCTGGCTGTTGCTGCTCGTGTTCCCAACGACATCTAGCCGGTCAGCGAAATTATTTAGTAGAATAAGTTAGTAGGAGGGAGTTCCGTAAAAGAATTTGGATTCGAATCGAAGAATACATACAGTGACCAAAATAGAAATTAGGATTCGACATTTTAGTAAGTTTTGGCTACTTTTCCTTAGTCTATTTAATGTTTATTCATTATTTTATGAAAGTAAAGCTCTTTTCCTAACAAAAACCATATCGTACCAAATGTCCAGCTTTGTGCAAAAAACTATAAAAATTAATTCTGCAATGGTTCACCAAAATTACAAACTTTTTAATTAGAATCTTTAGAAAAAAATTTTAAATTAAGTAAAATAAAGTGCGAGTGGAAAGTGTTGCTCATTTGCTTCTCTTTCAAAAAAATGGTCGCACATACTTACTTTGCATGAAAAAAATGCGTAACACCGTCAACAAAAAAAAAAAAACTTGCCAAAAATTAATGGTAAGCCTTAGCGACTTAAAATTACACTTTATTATACTAAAATTTAACGAATTTTTATAACCAATTTTACGGAGTAAAAATCTCGATAAAATTATCCTACAAATTTGTGATGTTACTAAAAGGATACTGTTTCAGAGCTAATACATCTAGGATCATTGAAGAAGCTGTAAGCTGTTGTGGAAAAAATTTGGAAAATTATTTTTTGTCCCGTATTCGGCTCTCATAAATAATGGTCAAAAATTGACTGTAAATTGTATCGTATGTGACAATGAATTTTTTCTTGTGAGCGAAATTACCATATGTGCAGAGAAATTAGAATGTGAAGACCTTTCTACAATAAAAAAATGTCATATTTAGTATTGATATTAGCTCAGCAAATTCAGACGCGGAAAAAGGCGGTATGACTTCGGTCTTAAACGCAACTATATCGTCGGCTGAGTCGAAGATCGCCCTATCTATATGTATACAAATACATAATCGGTTTCAGACAATCTAAAAATACTAGTGTATGGCTGACTTCCAAAACGTACCAATACAATATTTGGATACTATTCTACTGAGGAATTTAAAATGTTTTAATATGCAGAGTTGGGAAAATTTGCAACCACATACTTTGCATATTTAGAATATTCAATATAACAATAAATTAATTTTCGTAATTTTTGTAATTTTCCATTTTCCCAACACCAATCGCAACCAAAAACAAACGAAGCATCAATTTTGTTTCTAATGCCCTGATTACTCTAGCGATGCGTTTCGATAACTTTTCGGATGCGTTTTGGAAAAGTATACATTTTCAAGCATTTGTAGATCGGCGTTATAGAACATTATACTTTATACGTATGCAATGCAATTGACGTTTTGGAAGTTAGCTTATTTTTGTATTAATTGCGTTGAATCTGTATCATCCACAAGCAGTTATATTTTCGTATCTGATTTCTGATAATTTACAAAATTTGAAGATGGTGTGCGAATATGCATTTCGAAGAAGAGAACGATTCCTCCAACTCAAACGCTCAGCAAAAACCACAAGACACTAGTGTTGCCACTTAAACAAATTTTTTGTTGTTGAGATTGAAAACAGTAGAAATAAGTCACCCCCATGTACGGGTTTTCTCCTCATCTCACGGGTGCAATCAGCTGTGCTACGTTAACGACGAAGTATCTGGTACAGTGAAATGATAGAAAACCCGTATATGTCCGGGACGTGTACGGTTTTTGCTCTTAACAGCAAAAAAGTGATTTTGGACTTATACGGTTATCGAACTCACCGATTCAATTGAAATTCGGTCCTGATGCAGTGTATTTTCTCCGACTTAGTGCTTATCATATTTGACCATTTATCTTAATATATTTTAATTTTAATTATTTGTATATAAAAACTTAGCATTTTCTTTAACAAAAACCATATAAATCCAAGTTTTCAATTGTGCAACATTCAAAAAAAAATCAACAAACTTTCGTAAAAATTCCGAGCTTTTTATTTCGATTTTTTTAGAAATAATTTAAGTATGCAAGTATGTAAGTTTAAAGTAGCTAGGACTTACCGTTGATTTTAAGCAATTTTTTTCGTTGACGATGCCAGTCATTTTCTTTCATACAAAGTACGTTCGACGATTTTTTTATATGGAGAAAATGAGCAACACCTTTGACAAAAAAAAATTGTCAAAAATCAACGCTCAAGTTAGAGCTAATTTAATATAATGGGCTTCGTTATACGTTGACTCAAACAAGTGTTCACGTGTTATTTTTGTTTGTTTTAATGTTCACAATGTTTTTCAAGTAAATATTTGTGTTGTTGTTTTTTATAAAAATATTCTGCCTTATCGTGAGCTTTACCTGAAAAAAATCACCCGAAAATTTGTCATCCACCCATAGTAAAACCATGGAAATCAATAGTGAAAAGTGAACCGGTTCGGGGAAAATTAAACTCATGATAAGGCTGATTGTTCATGCTTTAACCCAACCCATATAAAACAAAATTTCAAACTTTATATCAAATTTAGAAAAAATTCAACAAATGCTCATCAAAATTGTATCTGAATTTTTAGAAAATTTTTGAGTATGTAGTGCAAGTGCAAGTTTCAAACAGCAAAAAAAATCGCCTTGATTTAAATTATTATTATTTTTGCTGACGGATTTTTGTAGTCTAACACCCAAATTCATAAAAAAAATAAACAGGACTTTAACTGCTTTATCGAAAATTTGTATGAAAATGTGACTTTATAGAGCAGTTTAAATCTACTTTATTTTTTATGAATAAGGCCATAAGTTTTTATATAAACAAGTAACTTTTAAGCAAAAAAACAAAACCGATTTCAATTCTCATATAAAATTTAAGAGTAGCGTTAATTTCTTCATGATCCAACGATCGGATCCAAACCAAATTAGTATGGGACCACCTCGGAGACACTAACTTTCCGATAGAAAAAGAATTATCAAAATCGGTTGACGTGGTCCCAAGTTATGCGGTAATATACATAAAAAAAAAATATGCCGACCTTCTCCTTTTATGAAGTCGGTTAAAAAATAGGAAATTAGAAGCAAGTTCAAATTAAATCACAAAAAAATCTTCTTGATTTAACCATAGGCGGCAAATGTCATTTGTAGTCAAAAGTAAGTCTTACGTGTATAGTTAATTGCCTCATCGACTTACTAAAGACATCACGCGATAGGTAAAATTCTCTCATTTACGCATCAAACGAATCTAACCTTTATAACGAAGTATTAACTAAATGTTGACCTTTTTTCAAAAATTAAAAAAAGTCAGTACCCAAATATGAATATATCGGTACAAATTTTAATGATTGCATAGCGCAAAAGTTTCTAAAAATAAACTTGCAATGCCAGTATATCTATGCACAAAGCCACAATTGAATGAGAAATCCGTAGGTAGGCAGGCAGGCACAAATAACGCAGACAATTTGAATTTAGTGCGCTCACTAACTGCCACATTCCCGAGAACAAGTCAAGCTGCTAAGTCAAAAAGAAGCCAAAAAGGCCGCTAAAAGGCGCGAGTGAGTGCGCGCGTTCACTTTGGTAAAACAAAAAAGAAAGAAAATTAAAAGCACAAAAGCGCAGCAATGCGTTGATCGTCAGCGCACCGAGTTCGATTCACAAGCGCTTTGGGCAAGTAAAACCAAGATTGAAGAAAAAGTGCCGGCAAGCGTGCCGCCGCCGCCAATCACCGCAACCACCATCCAGCAGCTAAGCTAAGCTTGCAGCCAAAAGACACGTAAGGATGTCCAACGGCCGGCCGGTTAATGGTTGGCAGGCTCGCAAAGCTGAAAAATGCCGGTGCAACAGAGCTACACTTTGGTGGCGGCGGCGGCGGCAGGCAGTTGATTGGGAGCAATCTCGTTTTGAATTGTTGTTCGACGACAACGGCATCGGTTCGAAGACAGAGCATCCGCCGTGGGCCGGCAACAACACAGCATTGACATTGCATTGCAAGCATAGCAACCAACATAGCAACAATCGACGTGAAGTCGGCAGGCAAAGCGCCTAGCATCGAGCACAAGAAGTGCATTTTTCAGACGCAGCAACGTGCAACAAACAGCGGCAATCGCCGCCTGCATTTCAATTTAACGTGTTTTTGCAATGCCGCAACGACTTGAACTTGTCGGCTTTTTTTCTTTGCTTTTTAGCATTTTAGCATTTTATTGTTTTTTTTTTTTGTTTTATGTTTTTACGTTTTTCTTTTTTGTTTGTAGATTTGTGAATTTTTCGTTGTTCGTGCGCTGCTTTCCTTGCGGCAAGACGACCATGGAAGGTACATTTTTGTAGAGGAATAGGTGCAAGTTGAGCAAAAGACGCAGCAAAAAATTGGCAAAGTGGTATTTCCAGCAATAGAAGTTTTTTTCTTCTACTACATTGCAGCGCGTCGAATGCGGCGTTGGTTGCCGAGGAGGCCGTTGCTGAGGGTATGATATCCTTTTTTAACTTGAACAATGCATATCTCTCGATTTTTGTTTTTTTTTTATTGGCGAACGCTTTCAATTAAGAACTGAAGAAGGTGAAGGGTATTAAATTGTGTGGATGTGTGTGTATGTGTGATTGCGTTTCGCGCGTGTGTGTATGTATGGTATACATGCATATGCAATGGTATGTCTTTCTGTACCTATCTGTACATAAGTATGTATAAGGTGCATAAGAGCGCCGCCGCCGCTAATATAGGGCGTGTATCCTCGCAAAGTTTGTATGGAGTTCTTTCACTAACAAAAAGTCGTTTATGAGTAGATAAAATTGAATTTATGAAATTTTATTTTTACACATTTTTTTAGTTCGACTTACGTGTTTTTTTTTGCCAACTGGAATGATCAGCGTGTATGCTCAACCGCCGGCTTAGCTCCATTTCGTTGCAAAATAATTGGCACTCAACTGTGGTTAGTCATTATTTCCATTCGCCAGCCATTTGTATCGTTTTTTCACACACTTTAACGTCCTTTTGCAGTTTGTATAAAATATTAAAAATGTGGTTTTGTTCATTCTCTTCATAATTTCTTTCCGACCGCACAGTCTGTCTACGCAACGGCAAAACTTCGACATAGCGAAAGGATAAAAAAAAAACTAAACGTAACACCGAAAACCAATCCATTTCGCATATATTCAGCTGTTGTTGTTGTTGCTGCTAGGTATCTACACCACAAAATTCCGTTTTTTTGCTATTCTTTTTTAATCACGCAAGTCTGCAGACAGGAGCAGAGCATGGAAACAGGCACCTCGAGTGCAAAAGCCAAACTACACTAACGCACCCGTGACTTCAAAATCCAGCCAACAGGCCAAAGAGATAAGCAGCAAAATTGTCAGTGCAGAATAACAAAAAAAAAATGTGCTATTGGAAATTTAAGATGATACCGATTCCTTTCGCTACGAGCAAGTGCCAAAGTTAAACTGCAAAAAAGCCAACCGCCGCGAAACGACAATTGTGTTCCGCATCATCATCTTCGCCAACGTCGACAGTCGGCTAACGCACGATCAGCAATCCAGCGAGCGTACGATTGAGCCAGCGACGAGCGAGCGCACGAACGAGTAAGGGGCCAACCACCGGTCGAATAGGATGGCATTGAATCAAGCCAACCGCCAGCCAGCCAGGCAAGTCAACAGGCGCAAGGGTGAGATGGGTTGCGGAGAAAAGGTAGACAAGATAGTCAGTCACAGCAGCGCAGCAAAAGCAGCATCCATCTCACCACTGGGGTCCATTCAGCCGGCAGCGCTGCAAACAAACAGCAGCCTTACCAAATCTCGCACATCACATTAAAACCAACGCAATTGCCCAAAGTCTTCCTTAACACACAGACTTGGCCTTCTATAACCACCGCACCACCGTATGGGTGCTACTGCTGCAGCCTCACGTGAACAAGTTCAGCTATTGCACACACTCATATATATTGATGAGCACACTCTCAGCGTCAACTTGTGCATGCCTGTGCTGCCCGACGACGACGACGACGCCGACGACAACGACTATGACTATGACGCTCGTCATCCGATCGGGGAGTCATTGCAGGTTACCAGCAGCGTCGTGTTGTGTCGTGTGCGATGCCTACACCTTAGTTATGTTTGTGCATACATATGTACATGCCAACAACAGGAATAGTTCAAAGTCTCCACCGCTGGTAATCCATTCAAGTGCAACAACAACACCACACATCTTCTCCAACCATCCGACTCCTTCAATTTTGCATATTGTTTTTTTTTCTACATCAGCATCTTAAACATCCACCAATGCCATGTTGTGCGCGCGGTTTACGCTCACGCGCGCTCTTTTGTTGGCTCCCTGCGCTTTTGGCACATTTTTGTTTGGATATTTTTTCGTAGCCTGAAACAGTTGTAGTCTCCAACCTGCAACGAAATGACGACGACTCCCTTACCACCTGTACTTCAATACATCGTACTATAGCCGAACTGTAGCTATCCTCCGCTTCCTTGGCCCTTCACAACTCCTGTTATCACGATTATCACGATTTGTTGGTTGCGCCAACAGCATCACTATCGTGGTCATAATTATCGTCACCTTCATTAGCGTTTTCATCATTGTCAGCAAAATCATCATCATCATCAGCAACATATTCTTTTCAAAATGTTTAGCTTCATGAACCTTCGTTTTGTTGCTTGGAGAGCGTTTAAGTTGCCTTCGCAGCAGCTGTGCTGCAGACAGGCGGTCGGTCGGTCAGTCATTCGAGTTGAGAGCGGTTAATGCAGTCAACCTTTGTTAATAAGTTATGTACGTCGTCATTTGGAGAATCGTTAAGGCGAAAAAAGCATCAAGGGGTTAGCAAAAGACTCGAGTAAAAGTAAAAACAAAAACTATTTGTCTTGGTACCATTTGTTACAATAACTCTTAATCACCCAGCAAACAGTAAAGCGCTAGCGAATAATTTTGCTAAAGCGCTGAAACAAGGTGTACCCAAATAAAAAAAATATTTTGGTATATAAAACAACAAAAATAATATTTGGAGATATTTTGGAAAACTGCAAAATTAAAATTAAATCGTTTTGGTCATTGAGCTTCGGACAGAGTAGTATTTATAGTCCTCCAGTGAAAAAGCTCCAGCTGCAATTTGCGGGTGAGTAACGAGCGATTCTCTCTCAAATTGGAAAATAGCCAGCAACAACTTGCAACTGTTAACTGTGGCTTAGCTCTCTCAATTTCCCCCACTTTGCTAGTTCTTTCGCGAACGCCAAATCCTGATAATGGGCCGTTTGAATATAAAACTAAGCAATTGCTTTTTCTTAAAATTTCAGACCTAAAAATTACTAAAAATTACGGTTGATTATCAAAGGGGTTTTTTGTCGCATTTGCTTCCATATAATGAATAAACACAATTTATTTTTTATATGGAAGAAAACCGTAACATCTTCGATAAAAAATCTAAAAAAATCAACCCTGAGACCCTTGCTCTTCCTCTCCGCGAACACAACCACAACTGTCAGCCAAGTAGAGAGCCGCAAAAAGGTTTTCAAATCAAAAGGTAAAGGCAGTTTCAGACTTGTCGGAACTCAAGATAGCAACGGTCTTATAGATACTGAGTGAAAAAAAGCCAAAAATTGCAGCCTGTTTTCCGGCATGGACGTCCGAAGTCGAAGTTTTTAACAGGTTCAAAATTTAGAAAATGACCATTATGTTGAACCGTTGGTAACCATGAGAGAAAGGTACATTCTTAATGCTACTTCTACATTTGGGAAGCATTCTTTGATGTTATAATCAAACCTAAGTTTGTACATCAATATTTCTTTGCTAACAACTTCTTAATTTTTTTTTCATAGTCTGTTTGAAAGTGCATGCATAAATTTTTAAATTGTATTACCTCGTTCCCTAAATTGTCATCCAAGTCGTTTTCGCATACATATCTCAAACAATTTTGTACTTTCCGCTAAAATTACTTTATCACCGAGCGTGTAAATTTGTTCATGGACAAGTTTGTAGGCCTCGATCCTCTTTCTCAGTTTACTCTTATTTGCGTATATTAAAGGCATGCAACTTTGGGCTCGAAATTTATTCGATTGTTTTTTTAATGTCATCTAATTTTTAAAAACATTTTTATTTTTTCTTTATTTTCATTTTATTTATTTAGTTTTTTATTTCATTTTTTAGTTGTTAGTTATTATTTTAAAAAGAAAAAACATATACATACATTTGTATATTTTTTCAATTAAATTTAATTTTTAAATAACTTTTTGTTAAACCACACCACAGCCACTGTTTTTAATATTTTCTTCATTTACAATTTTTATAAATCATATATTTTTGCAATCTAGGCTAGCGCCTATGTAGCCTGTGCTTAAATCCCGGCCTGATTGAGCCCGAAGCTGTGCCGACAAGCCAACAACGACATTCACCGAGAGACAAATCACCACAAACTCTTCTCCCCGTGAATGTTGTTCACCAGCCACGCATAGCAGGCGAAGAGCTTCAGCTACCAAGAGTCTGAGATTAAAACATTCTTCTTTGCATTACCGTGACATGTATAAACGGATGCACGACTTTCCTAGGAGCGCCTAAGGCCGATACATTCCTGGGTACATGACTGCACATGACCATTTCCGACTGGGTATTTTCATTTGACCACTCACACAAAGATGGTCATTCGACCACCTACATACATATGTTATTATCTCCGATATGCAACTAAAAAGCGATTAAAACGATTTTTATTAAAAGTAGTAATAACTGCTGATGAGAAGAGGATTCTTTATAACAATGTGGTACGCAATAAGTCTTAGTGCCGATATGAGGAATCGCCTCAAACAACTTCAAAGGCAGAACTTTATCAAAGAAAGCGCAAACGCTCAATGCAGTGGTATTGGAAGGGTGTGTTTTCTTTTGTCTTATGACAGTTCCAAAGATTCTGTCATCCAGAAAAATTTGGGAACTCACGACAACTCAAGACTACAACCGTTTTGGCGAAGCTTTAAACATTTGACTGCGTCGTCGTCAGACTGCCAAGCGGAGAATCAGTGCATTATTCAGTTTTTCAGTTTTCGCCAATAAAGACAGGTAGAAGGCTGCGAACCTGGAATTACGACGATCAACGAAAGATGGCAAAAGGTCATCGAACAAAGCGGAGAATACTTCATTGATTGGTGTTTTATTTGCATATAATTAAAGAATTTTGAAAAACAAAAAAAATATGCAATAACACTTTACTCCGCTCAATAATACACTGGCGGTGACGCATAACTTACCACCACAATTATTCTTTAATGAGGTAGAAGTTTGTAAATTTAAATAAAAGTCGTTTCTTGTAATACAGTTGGTATTATAATAAGAACTATATACATATGCAAATCCAAAATTTCAAGCCTAGTACAAAATTAAAAAAAAAGTTATAAAATCTTTATGAAAATCTCCAAATTTTTAGGAAAGCTTAGAGTATGCAGTTTTATAGCCCATTCAATTTTAGTAGTGCAAGTTTGAAGTAGCTCAAGATTTCGTTTGATTTTTGACATTTTTCTCCATACGATGTTGCGCATTTTCCCAGGAAAAAATTCAAAAATCAGCGAATTAGCTACAAAATTGCGTACCCGAATTTTTTCTAAAAATTTTGTTTAAATTTTTTTATGAAAATTTGATGAATTTTTTCTAAATTTTTAAACTAAAAAAAAAATTCAACAATTTTCCTCAAAATTGCAAACTTTTTTATCAGAAATTTGTTAATTCTTAAAAATAAATAAATAAACACAGTGGCAACAATATCACTTTAAAATGGAGGTGCTTTTGGTATGACCGATACTGTATATGTATGTAGTTCCGTCATCACTTGTCATTTTATTTTTATACCTTTCATGAGCATGAAATGGTATTATAACTTTGGTCCGATGTTTGTAAGTACCAGAACAAAAAGAGATAGACCCATCAAAATGTATACTTATATGATCAGAACGTCGAGCTGAGTTGATTTATCCATGTCCGTCTGTCCGTCTGTCCGTCTGTCCGTCTGTCCGTCTGTCTGTCTGTTTGTATGCAATCTAGTCTCTCAGTTTTCGAGATATCCGGATCAAATTTGGTAGGTGGGTGTATTTTTATAATGTATTAATCATTTGTCGGAACCGGAAGAATCGGACCACTATAACATATAGCTCCCATACAACTGATTGTTCAGATATGAGATTTTTC